TGAACATTACTACAGCTGGAGTATGTATTATGTATATTTCATTTGATATTTCATGACACAATTAGGAGATTATGGCGTGCTTTCTTATCTGGTGTTCAGGTTTGTTTCTTACAGTTTATCTGCTCACACCACTTCAGATATACGCGTGTTTTATGGGATTTCCTTGGCAGTTCTTCAGGGTCAAACATGTTCGCACTTATGTTTTACCTACTTATGTTACAGTCAAACACGTCGATACTTTGTTCTCCCTTATAATTTCTCTTAATTACGTGAAGGATACACACCTGTATAAATAGGAGTTACCACCCATCTCACTTAAGAGAATTAAGGACAAGAACTACTACCAATCTACCTTCATACAAAATTTCTCCTCGCTTAGTGTGCCCACAGTATACTCTTTCTACTATGTCATACTTTCGTACAAAGTTATTAAGATAGTGCCGTACCCACACATTTGAACAATAGGTATCGTACCGTACTCAGGGAAGATCAGATAGCGCGGCTAACCCCCATTGCCTTCCCCCTGCTCCTACCGCCCCTAACGCTGGCGGGCAAGGTGCGTTGCCTTATGGCATCACCGGTTCGAGGATTGCCGGACCTAGAAAGCGTGATAACATCAGAAATGCCACGTATAAGGGGAAGAAATCGTGGATGGTTCTGGGGAGGGTTTCTCTCGATGATTGTTATTGTTTTCGTGTGTCCATCATTGAGTAGTGCTATGAGTAAGGACCCTCCCCCCTGCTCCAATGTTTCGACCAAGGGGGGGGGGGGGGGGCTGGATCAAAGAATGAAGGAGCCGGAACAGGGTTTCCAAACCGCTGGGTTATAAGATAGACCCCCCCCCAACAACAACAACAAAAAGCAGTGATATTTGAAGCTACAAAAGCGCTGAAACACATAAAATAAATTCCAAGAAAAAAGTAGTATCATGCAAGAACTAAGTAAACTAACGTAGCATTTACAATGAAATCCTTCTATTGCGGCAAGAACCAGTGCCACAAATCCCATTGATACGATTGCCTTCTGAAAATTTACCAGTTTCAAAAAAGAAATCCTCATCTCGAGTCCCCCCCCATCAGTGTGCCCAGGCCGGACCATATATTCCCGGTTCAGGTTCAGCTATAGAAGGGATATCCCGGGTAATTTCCTTCTCTCTCCCCGCTTTGATAGATCGATATCTCCTGTAGTTTTGCTCACTAAGACCTTAAGGAACACCCTATTTTCAGGTCCCGATTAAAATCCCTTCTAACCTCCTCAGTTCAATTACCGAGGGCCTTTACAAAACCTCCTTTCTTTGTCTCGCCTAGCCGCTTCCCTCCATTCTCCCGTTCCTCCCAGCAGCATAGGCTTTCGTTGAAGACTAGCGCCCCTCGCAACCACACCCTCTCATCGCCGCCCGCCGCACATTACTCCCCGCCAGGAACACAGAGCTCCCCCTTGCCTTCCAGCCCACCCTACTCCTCCACAAACCACCACCTCAGTCTCAGCCCTTCCGTGTTTTCTCCAACAGTGAGCTTTAGGATTGTTGGCCGGGGCGAACCTCGTGGTATGCCTACGTCGGGGCTCTAGGAATGTAGGTCATTCCGGGACACGGTACGCTCTCGCGGCCTCCTTGTAGCTCCCGTCCACATTTTACCCCCGGATGTCGTAAGTGTAGGGACCCCGCCCCGGGCTGCGGGCCAAGGCACCCCAAACCCCCCCTATTCCTCGCAAATAGGACTTTCTATTTCGGTGGGCTCTAGCTATCATATTTTTCCCATGGTGCGGTGGTATTTATGGATAGGGGTCCAAAAGCTAAGAGAGTAGAAGCAGCGGTAGAGGGTGGTAACAGGAAACATAGTGGTCTTCAACTATTCGCCGTATTGCTCCCTTGAGTTTGCGGCAAAGGGAAGTAAGGTAACCCTTGAGCCATGCCCGACAGGCAGGATCTAGAGAGTTGGACCCCAGAGAATTATCAGTGGGAGATAATGGGGTGTAGTAAATAAAAGCAAAGTAAGATAGAAAAAAGTCCATGATGTATTGCCTACCACTCTCCCGAGGAGAATTTTTTTAATTTTTTAATTATTTCATACATTCTTTTTTAGGGTACAAGAACTCGCATGCAGCAACTAGGCTATGGCGTAAAGAAAACCCTTCCAAATCAAACAAATAACATAGGAAATTTCCAAAACTATCCCAACTGGCCGGTCCCCTATCCTGAGAACAGGTAACTGCTCCTTGCGCACAACACAAAAGCGTGACTAACTAAGTAGAAAAATTTAAAAACCCAAGCCAGCGGCCAAACCGCCTTGAATCCTCCATCATTAAGGAAAACAAATCATTCAAAACATAATCTTTGCGCAAGGAAAATAAACCAACCACCGAACTTAACTAAACCTAGCAAGGAAATCCAGCCGGCGTAGCAGATGGTAGAAGAGGCGAGGAGGGAGGGGGCGGTGATCGCCATTCTCATGTGGGGGGGTAGTTGATGCGGGCTGCATGGATGAAAGCGGAGAGGGCCAGGAGGGTGTTGGTGTCCTCCCAGAGCGGGGTGTCGAAGTCGATGGACCGTAGGTCCAGGATGTATTTGTTTCTAAGTGGCTGAGTAGCAGTGCATTATAGAAGGGCGTGTTCCATGTCTTTGTCTGACTCATTGCACCTTGGGCAGGTGGGCGAGGGGTCCTCCATGTTCCTGGAAGGATGTGCGGCCAGGTAGCTTTTGCCCACTCTTATCTGGTGCAGCCTTCCTGTTGTATATCGGTCAAGGCCCATGAAAGGGTGGGGTTTTCAGGAGGGAAGAAAGAGGTAGTATGGGGGTGTTGAGAGGTTAAAATTCCAGTCGTGGAGGGCCAGTGCTGTTATGCGGGATCTCAATCTGGCAATGGCGTCTAGAGGGAGAGGAGGAGAGTAGGGGTCGAGCACGGGGGCTCTTCCTTGAGGGGGGGGCCAATGGCCTTTGTGCTCCAAAGGAAGGAGTGTATGGAGGAGCGAGTCGAGGGGGAGGTGGACCCTGTTTGATCCTTTCTTTTTGGGTATGTTCCAGGGGAGGGAGCGGTCTGTACTGTGCCGGCCTTTGAGGAAGCGCCTTGGGCATTCCGCTGTCCAAAAGGAGGAGTGGGAGGGGAAGCCGGGTGGGAGCCGGGCTGCTGCTGGGTCGGTTTGTGGTAGGGCGCAGGCAAGGCATAGGGCCCCCAATCTTCATTTCCTTGTCAGGGCCAGATCTAGGGGGAGAAGGCAGGCTTCGAGGGGCAGGATGCTAATATTTGTGGAGGTGAACAGGTTGGTGATCCAGCGAAGAGCCTTGTTCCAAAGCACGTTCATCGCTCTGAGGAGGGTAGCTGTGGGAACAAGGAGGTCCGCACCGTATGTTAGGATAGGAAAGATCAGGCTGGCTACCAGACTTCTGTTAAGGGTGGGAGAGACCCCCTTCCTGGGGGAGGAGAGCTGCCGAAGAACTCCTAGGGCCCCTTGGGCCAGTGCGAGTCATTTGTTGAAGTGTACATTTGTGTCCAGCGTCCTTGTCAGCCAGAAACCCAGCCAGCGGACCAGCGATGAGGGAGCAAAGGGGGAGCCTGTGCAGATGACGGGGGTGTTGACTTGAGCTGATCAATCTCGGGCTGTCCTCAACGGACCAGTTCTGTCTTAGAGACTGAAAAGGAGACCCCCAGAGAGGCTGC